GTGAGGATTATACTGTCGGTGAGGATTATACTGTCAGTGAGGATTATACTGTCGGTGAGGATTATACTGTCAGTGAGGATTATACTGTCGGTGAGGATTATACTGTCAGTGAGGATTATACTGTCGGTGAGGATTATACTGTCAGTGAGGATTATACTGTCGGTGAGGATTATACTGTCAGTGAGGATTATACTGTCGGTGAGCATTCTATTGTCGGTGAGGATTTTACTGTCGGTGAGCATTCTACTGTTGGTAAGCATTCTACTGTTGGTGAGCATTCTACTGTTGGTAAGGATTCTTCTATAAGTGAGCATTCTACTGTTGGTGAGGATTCTTCTATTAGTGAGCATTCTACTGTTGGTGAGCATTTCACTGTTGATGAGTATTCCACTGTCCGTGAGCATTTTACCGCAGTTAGTATTCCATCCACTGTCAGTGAGCAATCTAATACATTCTACATTCTACTTTCGGTGAAGATTTCATTGCCAGTAAGTATATTTCATTGTAGGTGAGCACTTGGTGTCGGTGCGAATTCCACTGTTGGTGAGCATTTTACTGTTGGTGAGTATTCCACTGTCCGTGAGCGTTTAGTGAGTACTTTATTATCAGTTAGTACTTTATTATCAGTTATTACTTTATTATCTGTTAGTACTTTATTATCAGTTATTATCAGTTAGTACTTTATTATTAGTTAATACTTTATTATCAGTTAGTACTTTATTATTAGTTAATACTTTATTATCAGTTATTACTTTATTATCAGTTAGTACTTTATTATTAGTTAATACTTTATTATCAGTTATTACTTTATTATCAGATAGTACTTTATTATCAGATAGTACTTTATTATCAGATAGTACTTTATTATTAGTTAATACTTTATTATTAGTTAATACTTTATTATTAGTTAGTACTTTATTATTAGTTATTACTTTATTATCAGTTAGTACTTTATTATCAGATAGTACTTTATTATCAGATAGTACTTTATTATCAGATAGTACTTTATTATCAGATAGTACTTTATTATTAGTTAGTACTTTATTATCAGTTAGTACTTTATTATTAGTTAGTACTTTATTATTAGTTATTACTTTATTATCAGTTATTACTTTATTATTAGTTATTACTTTATTATCAGTTAGTACTTTATTATCAGTTATTACTTTATTATTAGTTATTACTTTATTATTAGTTAGTGCTTTATTATCAGTTAATACTTTATTATTAGTTAGTATTTTATTATTAGTTAATACTTTATTATTAGTTAGTACTTTATTATCAGTTATTACTTTATTATTAGTTAATACTTTATTATTAGTTATTACTTTATTATCAGTTATTACTTTATTATCAGTTAGTACTTTATTATTAGTTAATACTTTATTATTAGTTAATACTTTATTATTAGTTAGTACTTTATTATTAGTTAGTGTTTTATTATCAGTTAGTACTTTATTATCAGTTAGTGCTTTATTATCAGTTAGTACTTTATTATTAGTTAGTACTTTATTATCAGTGAGTACTTTATTATCAGTTAGTACTTTATTATTAGTTAGTGCTTTATTATTAGTTAATACTTTATTATCAGTTATTACTTTATTATCAGTTAGTACTTTAGTATGATTGACTGTAGTCATGCATTAGTAAATATTGTCGAATCACTGACTACTGACTGTACTAATATGTATCAGTTAGTGCTTAAGTAAAACTTTGATTTATACTATTTACTCATGATAGTTCATGGTAAAGAATGTTGTCTAAAAGTAAATATTAAAACATCGACTTTAATTCAAAAACAATGTTTTTCAAAAAAACTAAAATTATTTGATATTCATGATAATATAAAGCAAAGCCGTAATAATGAAAAAACATAGTTGTCGTTATCTTCCAAGATTTTTATTTGTTTTCCTTTGGTTTTGGTTTCTCTTCCACCTTAGGTTCCTCTGCTGGAGGAGGAGGAACCTGTTCAGGTTCCGGAGCTGGAACCTCCTCATCCTCATCTTTCTTCTTAGAAACAAATATTCCCATTTTTCTTTAATATTTAGATCTGCTCTGCGCTGTGAATACTAAACTATGAGTTTGAGGTTGGAACCCGTAAATCCTTTCTCCAGGTTGTTATAGAGACCTGATACACTTTCATATCGAGTACTTAATCTACCCGACCTTAATTTATTCATACACATACACACAACAATACCGTTAATTAATCCAGGTTTTCAGACAAATAATTGGGCGTTTTTGACCTTTATTTGTCTTTCAATAAACCTGGATATCTTTATTCCTCACATCTGTTGAACTCTGATTTTTTTTTCAAACTTCGAAATTTATTTTCTTCAAAATTCGATTATTTTGTTCGAAATTCGAAATTTTTTTCAATTTTTTTAAAATTTCCAAGGACAACGCCGGGCACTTCAGCTAGCAAACATTAAGACAAAATATGATAAACTGTTTATCTTCTGATCGTCGTTCTTTTCCAAACTGTTCTGGATACCACTGTGCTTTATGAACAACATTCTAGAATATTAAAGGGAGTGTTCGCGAAAAATGAAAGGGGTGTAGGCGTACGTCGAAAAATATTCGATTGTGATTGCTCATAATTTTACTTCTATCTGTTGCATCTATAAGGAGAAAATTGTTAAAACGACTCAAACCATAAAACGTAGCGTCCATACAAAATAAAATATATTGAAATATCAACTATACACGAATGCGCCGAAAAATAATCGATGATTCTATGTAATATCTGAATGATTTGTTTGGAATTAAATTGATTTTTTTACGATCCGAGTCTAATATTGGAATCTTCTGAATTCTTATTATCTGAGTTCTTCAGAATGAGTAGTTTTTAACAACTTTCTCCTTATAGACGCAACATATAGAAGTAAAATTAGTAACAATCACCATCGAATATTTTTCTACGTAAGCCTATACCCCCTTTCATTTTTCCCGAACATTCCCTTTAAATTACATTTTTTCTTTAGTGTTTCCTGACAAACATAATGATTTATAGACAACTGAAATATCGTCTTTGATCTTCTATTTAGTGAATAAGGTGGCACGAGCTTTCTAAAATGTGTGCTACCTTCTTCTGTCTAAACAAGTTAAATATTAGGGTTGTTTTGTGCTATTTAATAACTTAAAGCTAAACATAACTTTTATCTCTGGTAATTTTGAAAGCACATTAGAAATGCCTGAGGGCTGAAAGTAATTTATAATCATTATTATAAGAACTATATTCGACAATTTTATTCACAAGTTAACACCGCAATATCTTCCAAGAAGACGACATATAATTCTGTTCTTGTATAATTTTTAGTTGTTCAAACAGTAGATACATATGTTACTTTAAACAATAAAGTAAAAAAATATTCGTAAAAAAATTATATTTCAGGTGATGGTTAATTTGATGGGTTGAAAATATTTAAATTACAGAGGAATTATCACAAACCAAAATCACAGGGTTTATCAGCAAACAAGTGTAAATTTAAACAACTGTTTAACTTCGTGAAATATTTAAAGGTGGGAAAGACTTATGTTAAAGGAAGTGTCTGTCTCGCCATTTTTATGGTTCTTGGATATTTAAACTATTCGGATAATGAAAGCAAACATTTGTTATCAAATTTAAGCATCGAATCAGAAATAAGAAAATATATTGAGCTGGGTTCAGCTTGTGATATTTAGTCTCCAGATTTTAGATGGGATTTCAAGAATTTGCTTAATCTCTTTCATTCAGTTGCTATTAATAGCCTCATGGTGAATTATTTAATATAACGGCATTTACAGTTTTAAATATCTAAGATCTGCAACATTGGGTTGCAAACTTGCAAAAGTATAGAGATTAGAAAATCAGAGTTTGTGACAAAGGATCAGTTCCTTTGTTTTCTACAACCCGTACTAAATAAATATACTATTTATGTACATATCTTAAAATTATGACAAATCATACACTCCCTTAAAGTTAGGCATACATAAGAATACTGAAGGAAGGTTGGAAAGGGTGTGGGTAAAGGTTATGGATCTATGCACCAAGAACTTCTAAACATGCAACTGCAGTCTACTAGAAGTTTTCCTAGTACAATATCACTGCGTTCTCGACCAATTCTGACCGAGTTTTTGATAAACTGTTTTTGTCAACTTCAATCGGTTCAACATTGTTTCTGACAATTCTTGGGTGCTAGGGAGTGAGGGTAGGTGAACTAAAGTTTGATGCCGTTATATTTGGACATATCTAGAAATCTTTACAATACTTCTTCGAGAGTTTTAAATACTTGAAGTAAGCCAATAAAGAACGAACGAGGACAATGCGACAATTGTTGTAATCTAGAATCAGAAAAGAAAATATTGAACACAGGAGATAGATCAATTTAGAATAAGAGCTCTGGCTCTGAGTTAAGCCGGGCCGGCATTTATCTGGGACTCCGGTGACATCATAGTTGCCGGGAGCATCATGGCAACAAATTCATCAAAATCTATCTTTCCATCATTGTTTCTGTCCGCTTCAAGGAACATCAGATCAAACTCCCTGAAATAGACAGATTTGTCATCATTGACCTTCACGCTGCAAGCAAATAGTTGTCAAGTCATGTGAACTCCAAGAAGACAACATTTTAATCCATACTTTTCAACATATACATGGTTGTTCACTTCAAGATGGAAGGGAAGGTTCAACAATTCTTTTTTTCCAGATTGACCTAGTTAATTAGTCCAAGTTCAATAGAGATGAAGTATCATTGGGCCGATAAACGAAACAGTAAAATGTTTTTAAAATGTTGTCTTTGCTGAAGCGCACAGGAATAGAGGACAATTAAATATCCATAAACTCGAGCAGTGTGCCCTCGTCTCTTCTTAATTATCTTTTCTTTTAATAATTTTACTTACTCGTCTGTGCATCTTGTTCCAAAGTTGACCATTGCTTCTTTTAGCTCGTCTTTGCTTATGCTCCCATCGTTGTTGTGATCGAAAACACGGAACGCGGCCTTCACGTCGTCCATCTTAAAGATATTAAAACTGTAATATTTCTCAGGTTCAGAAAAAGTTTTAACTGGGGAAAAGTTCAATCTCTGTTCAATATCTATCTTTCTATGAGAAATTTATAATTTTTTAAAACCCTTCCTTAATCAAGGGGGGCGGGGTTGGAACGCCGCACCCGTTTTGTCTTCTTGCAATGTAACTTTTGCAATTTCCTCCAAAAACCAATATTCACTACATACCTGCTGATGGTTATCTCTAAAAATGTTTTTAAAATAAGGAGAAGTTCAATCTTCACTAGAAATAACGCAGTTTTGCGTGCGATTCGTTATTTTTGCATTTTTTTTTTCTTTTCGCAAATGACATAACAAAATGGATGGAAGACAAAACGAATGTGGAAAGGAAGCGCTTACGGATGAGCGCAGTATACGCAACTCTGCATTATTTCTGGTATATATAGATTGAACTTCTCCTTTTTTCAAAAAAGTATTTTTAAAGAAGATTAGTATAGTGTGTACGAAATACTATAGTTTGGGAGGAAATTGCAAAAATCACATTGCAGGAGGAGAAAATGGGTGCGGAAAGAAAGCGCTAGGGTGAGCGCAATGCCGCAAATCCATTTTGAAACGTAAGTTGCGGAAAAGAAGACATACAGGTGCGCGTGACGTGTCTACCCTTCCACTTAATAAATTAGTAAATAAAAAAGTGTTTTCTGGATCAACTCTTTTGAAATCTACTGATTGTAGTCCTCAATATTATAATCAGAATTCTGAAAAAGTTAGATATCACTTGGACAGTTTCACCATATTCATTCAATAGAAATCCTAGGAGTCAAATGCATTTTGAAAGTCCAAAATAAACATAATTTTAAATAATTCTCCCCCCCCCTCTCTCAAGTTTTCCTGTACCTGGTTGCAACTGGATTTAAGGATTTCAGTCCCGACCTCTAGGAACTCCGATATACCCATTAATCCGTCCCACTCACAGTTAGCCTAAATTATCAAATTATCAAATTATCCACCAATCAGGTAATTATATAGTGAATTATAGAAACGGATAATCCACGAAGATGATAATCAACATTAAATTCAACGAAATCTAATTTTATACAGTGGTAGGCGGTTACCAATACAATGAAGACGACATTTTTAAGTTTTGATTGTTAACAAGCATTTTTCGAATTACAAGTTTCTAAGTAATCAAATAGAAGCTTTTTAAATTGACAGCTTCTCTTGACTTATATGTTTATGAGTTTCACAGCTTTTTGTATAGTCTTCATAGTATTTTATTTGTAAGGGTTTCAATGGTTTTTCATTATATGTAGATATTAATTGATTTAATAGCACAATATTTCGTTTTTATATTCGCTGGTTTATGATGAAACCCTATATTTGTATGAATAATCTAAGATTATTTAAGTCAAGGATTCTATGAAAGACGACGACATTTTAAATAATACATTTTCAATAAATTTGATAGAAATAGAAAGAAAATAATTGTGGTTCTTAGTTTGGAAATTTCGTCGTTCATATCAAATAATATCTTTATTTCAGCACCACTATGTATAATACATACACGGGCGTGCGAAAGCATTTGTGTANCATATATCTACCTTCATCACCATATATCTACCTTCATCACCATATATCTACCTTCATCACCATATATCTACCTTCATCACCATATATCTACCTTCATCACCATATATCTACCTTCATCACCATATATCTACCTTCATCACCATATATCTACCTTCATCACCATATATCTACCTTGATCACCATATATCTACCTTCATCACCATATCTACAATTTCGTCCTCGGTTGGGTTTTGTCCAAGGATTCGTAACACGTGACCAATTTCTCGGGACGGAATTTTGTCTTCTCCCTGAAAAAAAGTTAAAATCAGTATAAAAAAAAATTTATTACTCGCCTCAAACTCCAATTTTCTAATCACTATATCTTTGCGACCAGATGGTGTAAAATTTTATATTTAGTGTAATTAAATTCATAGTTTAAAACGTCTTTGACATCAGGTTGCAAAGCTGTAAGGATTAGCCAATTAAATTTTTATACAAGTAATTAGTTCCTTTATTCACCTAAACCTTCTGGTGTGTACTGCAGTAATTTGCAGTGCACTGACCGAAGAAATGACAGGTTTTAGTGGAGGAGGGTGTTTTATTTACAATTTGAGATTGAGATATTCTCCTGTTAAATTATAAACTGTTGAATCTAGTTCTAAATCCTGATCTGAATGTAAGAGGAATTCAATTTCTTGAAGTTTAAAGAAACAAAGCCTCTTAATTCAAGGATTAAATTCTATTGGCGGAATTCTAAAGATTCCTGACAAAAAAATTACAAAATCGAATTTAGTCATAAACGGGGAATACATCAAAACGACGGTATGAACGTAAAAAATGTGATCTCTCGGTGATCAGTCAAGAGTTTTTTTTCGTTGATTTGTACAAAACGAAGATCTAAAACTATATTATCTATTTTTATACAGTGAAACCCTTAATAACGAATACATCGGAAGAATTTATCAAATGTCTTCTTGACAATTTTTCATTGAGTTTTATACTATATTACGTAAATTTCAGTATTTGCGAAAATAAAGAGTTCCATATAATAATAAATTAAAAAAATTAAAAAACTAAATATCTGCAACATTCCATATCAGAAAGTGAAGAATACGACATTTGATAAATTCTTTCGATGTATTCGTTATTAAGGGTTTCACTGTATATAAATACTTTTTTGTTTCTAATAAACGTCAAAACGGCTGAACCGATTGGGTCCACATTTTATATGGCAAATCACATAACCCCAGGGAAGGTTTATAGATGCTAAGAATTACAAACATTTGTCTCCAAAATTATTCTATTTTCTTAAAATGAATAAATCCACATTTTCTTATTGTTTTATATTGCACGAAGTGGAGATGCTCACATATAGAGCCACAATTAAAAGTTAAAAAGAAAGATGGGCGCGAAGCGCCATAAAAATCTAGTAAACTATAAGTACCGTAATCCAACTGTTTCTATTTGGTCTTCTGCATTAGATAATATGATTATATCTTGTGAATGCGGTAAAGAAATAAAAGAATTGTGCAATTTTACTGTCGTATGGTCGTGGACAATATGTATTGTACAGAAGCGTGTTTAAAGACTGTGAAGCGATTTTTGTCAGAAGAAAAAATTTAAGAAAGAGTTAAATATTACATAAAAACAAAACTCGTGATTTTACAGAATGTGTTTCCGGCATTTAATGCTTCAATTGAGAAAGCTGTGAAAAACATTGAATATCTTGCTTTTATACATTTGTACTTTAACACTAGAGGAAACTACAGGAGGAAACTATAGGAGGAGACTATAGGAGGAAACTACAAGAGGAAACTATAGGAGGAAACTAAAGGAGGAGACTATACGAGGAAACTATAGGAGGAAACTATAGGAGGAAACTATATGAGGAAACTATAGGAGGAAACTATAGAAGGAAACTATAGGAGGAAACTCTAGGAGGAAACTATAGAAGGAAACTATAGGAGGAAACTATAGAAGGAAACTATAGAAGGAAACTTTAGGGGAAAACTATAGGAGAAAACTATAGAATGAAACTATAGGAGGAAACTATAGGAGGAAACTATAGGAGGAAACTATAGAAGGAAACTATAGGAGAAAACTTTAGGAGGACACTGTAGAAGAAAACTTTATGAGAAAACTATTTAAGGAAACTTTTGGAAGAAACTATAACAGAAAACTATAGGAGGAAACTAAAGGAAGAAACTATAGAAAGAAGCTATAGGAAGAAACTAAAAGAAGGCAACTATAGGAGGAAAATTCAAAAGAAATCTATTGGAGGAAACTATACGGGGAAACTATAGGAGGAAACTATAGGAAGAAACTGTAGGAGGAAACTTAAACTGGAAACTATGGGAGAAAACTATAGGAGGAAACGATAGGAAGAAGCTTAAACTGGAAACTGCAGAAGGAAACTATAGAAGGAAACTATAGTAGGAAACTATGGGAGGAAACTATAGAAGGAAACTATAGGAAAAAACTATAGGAGAAAACTATAGAAGGAAACTATAGAAAGAAACTATAAAAGGAAACTATAGGAGAAAACTATAGGAGAAAACTATAGGAGGAAACTATAGAAGGAAACTATAGGAGAAAACTATAGGAGGAAACTAAAGGCAGAAACTATAAAAGGAAAATATAGGAGTAAACTATAGGAGGAAACTATAGAAGGAAACTATAGGAGAAAACTATAGGAGGAAACTATAGGCAGAAACTATAAAAGGAAAATATAGGAGTAAAATATAGGAGAAAACTATAGAAGGAAACTATAGAAGAAAACTATAGGAGGAAACTATAGGAAGAAACTATAAAAGGAAAATATAGGAGTAAACTATAGGAGGAAGCTATAGAAGAAAACTATAGAAGAAAACTATAGGAGGAAACTATAGAAGGAAACTTTAGAAGGACAATGTAGAAGAAAACTTCATGAGAAAACATTGAAGGAAACTATTGGAAGAAACTATTTTAGGAAACTATAGGAGAAAACTAAAGGAAGAAACTATAGGAGGAAACTAAAGAAGGCAACTTTGGGGAGAAAATTTAAAAGAAATCTATAGAAGGAAACTATAGGAAGAAGCTATAAAAGGAAACTATGGGAGGAAACTATAGGAAGAAACTACAGAAGGAAATTATAGGAAGAAACTTTAAAATTAAACTATAGGATGAAACTAAAGAAGGAAATTATAGGAGGAAACTATAGAAGGCATCTATAGAAGGAAACTATAGAAGGAAACTATAGGAGGAAACTATATGAGGAAACTATAGGAGGAAACTATATGAGGAACCTATAGGAGGAAACTATAGGAGGAAACTAAAGGAGGAAACTATAGTAGAAAACTATAGAAGGAAACTTGAACTCGAAACTATGGGAGGAAACTTAAACTGGAAACTATAGGAGGAAACTGTAGGAGGAAACTACAAGAGGAAACTATAGGAGGAAACTATAGAAGAAAACTTAAACTGGAAACTGTAGGAGGAAACTTAAACTGGAAACTATAGGAGGAAACTATAGGAGGAAGCTTAAACTGGAAACTACAGGAGGAAACTATAGGAGGAAACTATAGGAGGAAACTATAGGAGGAAACTTAAACTGGAAACTATAGGAGGAAAACTATAGTAAGTTTTTAAAGAAAGAAAGAAAGATGAAACTATAGAAAACTTGAACTATTTATGAGTAACTAAGAAGGAAAAAAGAATTAAAAAGGACAAGATTGTAGTTTCTGTGTTTAACTATGCTAAAAAATTCCTAGAATTGTTAAGGATTAAAGTCACGGGGTTGGAGTAATAATGCAATTCGAAACTTTTCCACAAATTAATCGATNGGATAATAATCATGCCCAACTCTACGGATAATAATGATGCCCAACTCTAGGGATAATAATGATGCCCAATTCTACGGATAATAATCATGCCCAACTCTACAGATAATAATCATGCCCAACTCTACGGATAATAATGATGCCCAACTCTACGGATAATAATGATGCCCAACTCTACGGATAATAATCATGCCCAACTCTACTGATAATAATCATACCCAACTCTACGGATAATAATCATGCCCAACTCTACGGTTAATAATGATGCCCAACTCTACGGATAATAATGATGCTCAACTCTACGGATAATAATTATGCCCAACTCTACGGATAATAATGATGCCCAACTCTACTGATAACAATCATGCCCAACTTTACGGATAATAATGATGCCCAACTCTACGAATTATAATTATGCCCAACTCTACGGATAATAATTATGCCCAACTCTAGGGATAATAATGATGCCCAATTCTACGGATAATAATCATGCCCAACTCTACTGATAATAATGATGCCCAACTCTACGGATAATAATGATGCCCAACTCTACGGATAATAATCATACCCAACTCTACGGATAATAATGATGCCATACTCTACGGATAATAATGATGCCCAACTCTACAGTTAATAATGATGCCCAACTCTACGGATAATAATGATGCCCAA